TTGATCGCATTTGACTGTGCTTGCTTAATAGATGTGAATAATAGCGAATGATTATTGAACATGATAATTTTTATTTTGAACAATTGCCGTTGTTTCTGAATGAATTTGTATGTAAAAACTATTTTTGTGTGTAACAGAGTTTTTCAAAATTTTTTTGACAATCTAATGTTGTTACAAAATCATCTGAACAAAGCTAGCGCACACATATCAGATTTCAATTAAATTTAATATTTCTAGAATAAATATCGGGCAATTTTATTTACAATTGCAGATATACTATTGTACGTTATATATGAGTATAACAAATAACATTTAATATCCCTCTGTATGATTGTCATACTGACTTTTTTGCGTTACATCAATTTTAATAAATAAAATACGAACGAATATGATTGTTATATAAAATTGTTTTTTTTATGATAGTATTGACGTTTAGGATATTGGGTGTAAAATTTGCATATCATATGTCAAATACTGTATCCAGTGTATTGTTTGTAATATTATTCGTCGTATTATTTCGTGCGCATGTTTTCGATGAAACAGTCCTGATAATATTCGCCAAAACTGCCACAGTATATGTCCCCATTTCTCATGATTAAATCAAAACAGATTTCTGTATCCATATAGTCAACCTGTTGATCGTTAATTCTAGACATCGTTATTCCTCATAGTGCGTTATTCGTTGCCGTGCTCTAAAAATATTTAGCCGGCACACAACTAGCGAATCACACCTGCAAATTGTTTATTCTATCGATTGTTACCTATAAAAATATTCTCTTACGACCTTTCATGCAAGATTAATCGGCAAAAATACAGCTTTATAAAATTCATTGATTTTCTTCCAGTTATATGCATGTCTTTTAATTGAATTTACCAAAATAGAAATTTTTTTGAAAATAAAAATGAATTAAAAAGCTCCATTATCGTACATCTTTAAATTTGCATAGATTTGTTAATTAATTTGTTTATAATTTAGGAATTATGGACACCTGATAGTGAGATTAGTCATTTTCTATTTAGAAACTTTTGCTTTATCTCGCAAGAATTCGCTTTTATGAGATCTGTTAGATACGAAGCCTTAGCGAGAGATCATGTCAACGGAGAAGTGATCGACATGTACATACCTGGATATGCGACGAAGCCAAGCGGTTTACAAACGGACTTGTAAAATACACGGGACATGTCCGTTAATGCGTCGCCTCTATATTGAGGC